CAACAGCGCTGGACCACTCTGCTTGTGGTCCTGGTTGGAAACCATCCCCCACCTCCACCTCGGGGTCCTACTCCGAGACGTCCGTCGCCTTGCCACCCTCCTTCCTCTCCTCACAATGCTCTGCCGCCGCCTGCCCGCACACCCCGCCCTCCGACGATGCCCCCGTAGCCCCCCCCCCGAAAGCACGACCCTCCCGAGTCAACGCCCTCCTCCCCCTTCAGCCCCACGGTACTATCGCTGTCTGTAGATCACCCACTTGGTCCTTATGGACGGAAACGACCGTCATGCCCTTCTTTACATTATAACCCGTGTCAATCCTGTCGCGCCCATCATCCCTACCTATCATCGCAACACCGGCAACATTTCATTCTGCCTTCGTGGGCAGGGCGTGAGGCGGCACGGTGGAGCTGCACTCTACATCCTTCGGCGTTGATGTTTCTCTCGTGCCTCCTGCAACTTAATTGCCGTTCGTTTTGAGCGCCCTCAGTTGTCTCCATGAAACCAAGACTATTGAAACGGACTCGGGATGAGGATAACAGTGGTTTCGACACCCTCGCCTACCGTACGTCGTGCAAGCCTCTTTGTAAAATGCTCCCTAGTGTGTCCGGTAACGCTGGTTGAGACGCACTCGCCTACCGCACGTTGTGCATGCCTCCCAGTAAAAGAAACCCTTCTTTGCCTGGAGATGTACCAGCAGATTGACTAACCTCAGCAGAACGGCTGCACAGATGAACCGATGTCGCCACTGCTAGATACCGGTAACCAAATTCGGACGCCCAACGTTCTCGACAAAGCGTTTCGCCCGCATTTTGACGTTGGGTGATGATGCAGTGTTTGTCTGATGCACCTGAAATACGTTGTTCTTGTATCGCCGACTTGTGTTGCTCCACGCCACCCCATGATAAAAACAACAACTCAAGGTGGGTCCGGGATGCCCTTGGGCTGACCCGACCAGACGCTGCCAAGATTCTTCGGAGATGTCCCCAGGCAAGCACCGCCTACAAACAAACTCAAGACTTGTATTTAGAAGGCGTGCCGTTGTACATTTGTAGGGAGGCCTCTGTCTGCTGCTAGGTTACCTATAGGGCGTGGGGTGTGTATGTGTTTATATTGGTCAACGAACCCCCCCCCTCCCCCCCCCCGTCCGTTTTGCGGCCCAGAAGGAGGGGAAGTGAATTTAAGGATGTGTGCTCCCTTT